ACCTCGGCATCCGATCGCAGGCCTCCGCCCCTTGAGTTCTCTCCAGCGCTGGAAAACTGATCCGATATTTACACGGGTCCTACTTCTTGCCTTATCGCTGTTTTTTATCTGCCATCTCTATCTTTCTGTCGCTCGGCTTGGCTAATGTCCGTCCCATGCACTGAACGCGCTCTCCTCCACATCACGAGTAGACACGCCCCTTATTGCTGATTGGCTACAAGTTTGTTTTGCGATTCGGCCCGAATCAGTTTTTAAAGTGTTTTTGAAAAATCACTTACTCTGCCTTTAAGAGCAGCAGATAATGATGTGCTAGTCCCTTTAGTCTAAACACAACCAACTACACACTTCTGATACTTAAAGGTGCTAGATTAGTAGACAGTACCTTTGGTCTTGGTGGATCCAGATGCGCAGCTATTAGGGGACATGTGGCAACTGGACAGACTGCAAGGGTGGTTGCTGGCAGGAGCACAGGTGATTACCGATGGACGATTCTGATATAAAAGGAATTACTTATTTTTTTCTGTTTGTAAATATGACAATTCTCTATGCCAATGCATTGGAACACATTTAGCAACACATTCTGTATGAGTGAAACCACTGATGTAGAAACAGTAAAGTTTTTTTTTTAAATGCACATGAATGCCTCAGATCGTACAAGTCTGACCTGCTGGTGACTTGTGCTGGATCCAGGAATTAGAAGCATGCTCCTAGTAGGATCCAAGCTGTGTTTGGTCATCTCAAGGGGTTGATCCACCGCAAAAATGGGGAAAGGTGCAAATACATGATGGTTATGAAGACCACACAGAGATGTGTGACTATAATTCCATAACTCCTGATTTCTAGTGTCTCCATTCGAATTTCTCCTAAAAAATAACAAGAAAAAAAACATGCAAAAATACATGTGGTGCAAAAAACTGATCGAACAATTCAAAACATGGGAAGCTTTGCTGCACTGCAAATAACAGAACTGTAGCAGACATACAGATGTGATCCTAATAAGCATCTCATTTTGTTCATCTGTTCTTCATCAGAGTCTTTTTGATGATTCAGAGAGTTTTCATGGTGTTTTCTCTTGGTTGGGCTCATGGGAGTACACCCTGAGTTAAGCACAGGAACACTAGATGCTCCAGAATCATCTGTCAAGAAATCAGATTCAGGTTAAGGCACAGTCATGGCTAATAATGCTTAACAAAGACAAAAAAGTTCATTATCATGCTTGGATACACATCAGACTAGAATATCAGTGAAAGCTTTAATTAGTAGTAATATGCAAATGTTTTATTACAAATCTCATACTTCAACATACCGTACTATTAAAATATTTATAACCAATTTACTGTCAATGACATGATGTTAATTTTCTTCCTATATCTATATAGAAAAAATGCACCCCTTTACCTATATTCATTACTTCAGACTTATGTGCCCTCTAGAGGCTTTCATTCTGTGAAGTAAACGGTGCATTGTAGTGCCATCCCAAAGATTTGCTGCACAATTGGTGGCTGACTAAATACTTTTTTGCCCCACTGTATATATATATATATATAATAACTTCACACTCTAACACTAGCTCTTTCTATTCTATCTACATTTTATTCTTCTTATTTATTATACAAAAAACCTTGCTCTGCATTATACTAACCGGGACTTGTTATAACACTTATATATCATTGCTCTTTTGTTGGTTTGATTGCTTCTATTGTCCTCATTTGTAAGTCACTTAAATAAAAGCATCTGCTAAATGATTAAAAATGTAAATGTACAAATCTAATTCATACAATGACTCAGAAATACACCTCTTTTTTTAATGGAAATGTGTATTTTTTTTAATCAAGAACATTTTTTAATTTTGAGGGGGCATAAAGTCTTGATATAATATTGAAGAAAAAATGCTTCAAAATGTTAACCTTAAAATATCAGATAATTTGACTTTATGGCATGCCAAGTTCAGCTAAGGATGAAAATTTTACAGAAATGTACAAAATACATTTTACCCCTAGGACAAGTCTCAGTTAGTTTAACCCAGTACACATAGCAATGTTTAAAAAAAAAAAACAACATATAGAATATGAATAGAGCAAGCTAGTGTTAGAGGCCTTTTTTTTTTGAGAAATGGGACATTATTCTATTTCAGAGGGCTATAAAGACCCCATTTCTATTAAGTATAAAAAAACAAAACAATGGTCAGTTCTTATAAGGGACGTCCCATACTATATGCACACCTCATTTAAAACCATTTTACTGTAGCGTTTTTCGAGATATGGCACAATATTACACTTCAGAGGCCTATTGTAACGGGGCTGACGTGAGACATGCGGATCCATGTGCAAGCTTTATTTAAAGCAGAGAGGTCAGAAACACAGGCAGGGTCGAACAATGGCAAACAGGTATATGGCGGGCAAGACACAAGAATAATCCTAGGGTTAACGAAGGTCAACGATCGGCGAACAGAACCAAAAGAGCGAGACTAGAGGGATAAATCCAGGAACACAGGAAAAGGTCCAGGCATGGGCAAACAGAGTCCAAACGGCAAAACGACAGGGCAATCCAAAAACAAAGGCAGCGATATACACTGGGGAAAACAGGCAAGGCAAGACTAGACTAAACTAGGAACTATGAAAAAGACAAAACTAAGACAATAAACACCAGGAGAGTGGAAAACGCAGAACAATACTAGAGACCAAACAGGACATAAACATGGAATGGCTTGGTAAAGTAGCTAACACTTGGAGAGTGAAAAACGCTAGACAATACTCAGCAGTGAGAGAGTGGAAGTCCATGGCTTATGTAGCATGTCTGATTGGATTCAGCTGTGTGTGTGTGATCAGTGCATTCAGCTGTGTGTAATCAGTGCAATGGTTGATGGGAAATGCAGTCCAGGGTGATGTGTAACAGTCTGTGTGGTGTGAGAGTCAATGTAATGGGAGAAGGGTGACCTCTGATGGCAAACAGACGGAAGTTCATGGACCGGATTCGTGACACCTATAAAGACCCCATTTCTAGTAAGTAGAAAAAAACATTGATCAGTTGTTATACGGGACGTTCCATACTATATGCACACCTCATATATAACCATTTTACTGCAGTGTTTTCGAGATATGGGACATTATTACACTTTAGTAGGCCATAAAGACCTACTTTCTGTAAAGTAGAAGACATGAATGGTCAGTTCTTGTAGCAGACATTTCAGATCATATGCACACTTTATATGAAGCAATTTTATGGAAGCAATCTCATCTATGTTGTATTCTGAATAAAATATTGAAATTTGAAACTTCCACATCATTGCATTCTGTTTTTATTCACAATTTGTACAGTGTCCCAACTTTTTTGGAATCGAGTTTGTAAAAAAAATTTTTTTTTAAATCTGTGTAAATCAATGAAAAACATATAGGTTCCCTCTCATGGGAGCATCATTGCATCTGTTTTTATTCACAATTTGTACAGTGTCCCAACTTTTTTGGAATCGAGTTTGTAAAAAAAAAAGTTTTTTAAAATCTGTGTAAATCAATGAAAAACATATAGGTTCCCTCTCATGGGAGCTTCGAACTGCGTCCTCTAGGGGTCGCTATGGGGCAACTCGTTGGCCGGCGACAGCCATGACATCACTACCGGTGCGACTATAGTATAAATAGGCGCCGGGAGCACACATCATCCTCTTCTTCGGCTTCACTGACTGTTTTGTTTGAAGCGTGCATTTACATGGTAAGAGCGATCACTATTCATTCATTACGGCGAGCACTAGCAAAGTGTTTAGAGGATGTGTGCATCCGTGTCATCGCTATTTGACACCCGATGACACTCACGATCTATGCGTTGTTTGTTTGGGCGAAGAGCACGCACGCGATGTCCTCGAGGGGACAAGTGTGCACTGCGTTTGTCTCTTTTTTTCAAGTAAAGAGGGGCAGCCATCTGCTTGCCGCGGTTCAGGACCCGCCGCTGCTGAGGCACGGAGGAGAATGAGCTTGTGGGGATTGCAGGTGGACCTGGCCGATGAGTTTAAAGAGGGGCTTTCCCTCTCGCGCTCGTCGGCTGTGGACAAGAATGAGCCGCTGGAGGATGATGTTATTTCTTTAACATCTTCTGATCCAGGGGCCAGTGCTCTGGTGAGCCTTCCTTTCCTTCCTGATCTCCATACTGAGATCGAGAAGGAATGGAAGAGGCCGTTTTCCTCATGCATCCATCGGTTCCAGCATACCAGTTATGCCAACATCGATGCGACCTCGCGAAGAATCGCGGGGTCAAAGGGAGGTAGGCAAGACCTAAGGGATGTGATCCTGACAAGGCGTCAGCACTTTCGTCCGGATCAGAGTGATACTTGAGTATCTACTCATTTCCCTTGGGGGGTTTAACATCTGCCCTTATCTTCCCCTTCCTAATTCCCCTGTAACCACCATCTCTCCACCTGACCGAGGTTAGGTGGGAACTTCCTGCATAACAGTCTCCTACTGGACCTGTGATGTTTTGATTGGTTCTATGGCTTCATAGTGACCACCTTACTGATGGTCCGGTCTAGAGGCTTCTCCGGACAGGGCTCTGACGCGGGAACCATGGTGGGTGAGTATGATCCATTTATATATATATATATATGTATTGTATGTGTGTGTGTGTGTGTGTGTGTATTTAATGCGCTGGTGGTTGTGTGTATAACCCTTCTGCTAGCTTTCTTTGCAGTGTTTCCCGGGACCTGTGTGTTTCTGTCCTTTTTCTAGGGTAGGTCC